TGAGAAACGTCGAGATTTCCAGCGTGGAGTTAAATGTATTCGATGTTCCATAAATATTTACATTCTGTACAATAACGAACGAACTTATAGCCTGCCGAATCGTACCTTTATTTTTAGCGGCAGGCCAATTGGCGCGGTTTCATAGGAAGTATATTACTACTGACGCCTTCAATGAAGTCCGGTAAAAATACTAGTGCATTGAAATTCACGATGGTCATGATTTTTTAAGTGCGCCATAAAACGCGGAAATAGTTATAAATATGTACGTATTTCCAAACGATGCTTCTCAATGAACCCAATTCATTTGCGACTGTGAATTTCTCACGTGGGAACAACTCGGAAGACAATAAATGCAACGTAATGTAAAATAAATAAATAATTAATTTAAAAAAACTCATACAAAAATTATAAAAATTTTACTGAAAATTACGAAATTTTTTAGACTTCTTGAAGCAAGTTTTTTTTTTCAAGGTCTACCTAATTAAAGTTTTTAATCTGCTACTAACGGATGCATTTTGACTATTTTAGTCTGAATAATGCCGAATTCAGATTATTACAAAAACTAAAATAGGTAGAACTTCTTAAAAAAAAAATCTTGCCATACTCCAAGAGGTCTCAAAAAATTTCATAATTTTCAATAAAATTTTTATAAATTTTTTTTAAATTTTGTTTTTTAATTTAAAAAAATGGCAAACTTTATAAATAACAATTTTTTTCTTTTAACACTGTATAACACAACTTTAGACTGTCCAAAAATTAAAAAAAATATATACATCATGTAATTCACTTTAAACTGAACAAATTTCATCGAAGTCGTTTTTTGATAGGATTGAACATTTCCAAGATTTTAACGTTTTAAAAAGCAGAGTTACCGAAAAATTCAATTTTTACAAAAATTACTGTCGGAAATATTGACCGTACGTCCAAACTAAAAAAGTACGTGTCTTCTCTTTTTTAGAATTTTTCTCGGAAAAAAATTGTCAAAATTATTGTAATAAGTCAAGGTAAAATGCGAACATTTTAGCGAGAATTCCCCATATGCAACTGATCAAAAATTAATGCCAGCACGTGTTGACACATACATTATAGTAAATCGTTGTCAGTAAAATTGGTAAAAATTATGTTTAAAAAAGACATTGTATTTTTTGTTTAAAACATGTTTTAAACAGTTTAAAAAAACATGTTTAAAACAAGAATGGCTTAAACATGTTTCAAATTTTTATAATATAATATATAGAATAAATATCTTGTATACTCTTTCATTTTATCCTATAATTATCTCATTAAGTCCTAGGTGACCTCTGTGCACTTTTCTATTTTAAATCTTTGTAACTCGGAGTCTTAATATAAAATCTTATTCCAACTTTTAAATCACAATTAGTATTTACGAGAAAAAGAGTTGCCCTTTTCGAAAAGGAAATTTATTCGGCGTTAGAGTAGGATATTTGAAAAAAAAAAGATAAAGATTGTGAAAGTAGAAGTAAAAAAGTGACTTCTTTTTACTGACAAATATTTAACTAATAAATGATTTCAGCTATCTTCTCGAATAAAATAAATTAAAATTGAATGTATAGGCTCTGTTGGAAATCCACAAATATAAGAGAAACGGGCTAATTGAGAGCCAGACGCGGTGAATAATGCGCGAAAGTTCTTTGTAATTATGTGTATTATACAAAAATAATTGATATAATTATTATTACTTGATTGAGTGATGAACTTGATTGAAATTTATTAGATAATAGATAATATAAATATTAAAATATAAATAATAAAACTGAAAATATAATTTTTGTATTTTATTTAAGTTTTGAATATTGTAATAAGACTATTTCATATAAATAAGATAATTTTTTAAATAAAATCTACGAGAAATAAACGTTATATACGAATAAAAATAAACATATAAATATTATTCTCCCAAAATCTGTGTTGAACTTATTTCTAAAAAAAACATGTTTTTAACATTTGTTTAAACATGTTTAAAACAAATGTTAAAAACAGTATATTTAAACATGTTTTAAATGTAAATGTTTTAAACATAACAATTCTGGTCAGTGTTACGTCAAGCATCGGAATTTGTAGAATATTAGGTTTAAAAGGATAGCAAGGAAAGGCTATCTAGAGGAGGGGAGATAGGAAGACGTAACGAGATCTTATCGTATCTCGGGAGTAGTTAGTATAGGCCGATTCCACCCCGGGGGCTCCGAGGAGGGGTGATCTATACGGGTCGGGTTTACCCACCCCTCCGCGTTCTCAAATATTTTCAGTTGGAAAAAGATTCCTGACATCATTCGGTTTCCTCTTCTGTTTAACATTCCTATCTCCCTGACATTGAGATACGTTACGACGTTTATACTTATATGGTTTTGACGGAGCGGTATCCTCTGTTGCTTATGAAAGGGGTATGGGTGATCCACCATCCACATTATCGAAAATCTCCTCATCTCTCACCAGAAACTTATACCCCTTAGTAGTAGACATTTTTTTATCTCTCTACAAACTTGCTACGCGGTTTGCGTAAGGAATCAGCGCCTCGTCTACGAGGAGAAATCGGGCACCCGTCAGGCGGAACAGGTCCTCCCGCGCGCGGCCTGGCGCGGATATCGTGTCCCCAAACAGAAGCCGGGGCGCGGGAGGAGCGCCTTCAAACGCTTCTATAGCGTCTTCAAACTGGGGAGCGAGCGTCGGGCCCCCTCAAAATTTCACTGTTTTCTATGTCTTTAGGTATATTGCGTTCGCGCGGAGGCATCACAAAAAAAACTTCGTTTAATCACAAAAAATACAATGTCACGTTCGAGAACTTTTTTTACTATTGGCTTGCAGACTCCGATCGTTCGGTCTGTATTCGCACTACACAGCCACGACGAGACTGAATTCAATGACGGTTGCAGAAGTCGCCAGAGAAAAATATAATGGCGGTGTATAAAACTGATGGTCGTAAGATAAAATATGTCTCGCACTACAAAGGCGAGCGCCGACGTCCGCCGGAACATCGGCACCTCGCTTCTATGTTATGATATGCGATAATGCAATATTTGATTGCCAATTCATGCAACCGATGCTCCAGCGGACGTCGCATATACGGCTCGAATAGAAATGCGCGCGAAGAAAATATAGTATGATTTATACTTAAAAAAAACAATCCATCTACGCAGTACGTGAAAAAAACAAAGGAAAAAATGACGTCATCGGGAAGATGATCGACCCGATAACACATCAAACCTGTAGGGACATGTTCGTCGTAAACAACAGTTTTCTAGGAAAAGGGGGTGTTATCGCGTAGACTAAACAATCGAACCTGTCGGGACACGTTCGACGTAAACAACATATTTCTAGGTGATATACGCGGCGGCCTGAGTCAATGTTCCGGCAGATACACGAAGGCCAACAACAAGTATATGGAGTCGTACGATTCATCAAAACCGTCGTCGTGCCTAATGTACTTTGATGTCAACAACTTATACGGCTGGGCGATGTGTAAGTCACTACCCTACGCGGAGTTTCGATGTGTCGAAGACTCGTCAAATTTCGACGTTAACGCGATCGCTTTGGATTCGCCTACAGGCTATATTCTCGAGGTCGATCTCGAGTATCCGCAGGATAAACACGATGCGCACGCTGACCTACTGTTCTGTCCGATGCGCGATAAACCGCCCGGCAAACGGCAGGACAAACTTCTCGCCACGCTGCACGATAAGGAGCGTTATGTCATCCATTATCGCAATCTGCAACAGTGCATGCGCCATGGCATTCGCATCACAAAAAAACATCGCGTATTGCAATTCGCTCAATCTGAGTGGCTCCGCTCTTACATCGAATTCAATACAAAATTCAGAATACATGCCAAAAATGAGTTCAAAAAAACGTTATATAAATTAATTAATAACGCTGTTTTTGGGAAAACAATGGAGAATGTACGCAACCACGTCGATGTAAAATTAGTGACGAAGTGGGAGGATAGATACGGCGCGAAGGCAATGATCGCGCGACCGAATTTCCACAGCAACAGTGTGTTTTCGGAAAATCTGGTAGGTATGTGCATCCTCGACTTGTCGAAGGTGTGCCTATACGAATTTCACCACAATTACATGTCTCCCCTGTACCGCGACTCGTGTAGAATCATGTATACCGACACGGACAGTTTGATTTATCATATCAAGTGCGACGACGCGTACAAGAACATGAAACATGATATAGCCCGGTTCGACACAAGTGACTATGCGGTAGATAACGCTTATGATATATGCCTCTCGTCAATAAAAAAGTGCCGGGCCTGATGAAGGATGAAAACAACGGGGCCATTATGACCGAATTCGTTGGACTTAGGGCGAAAATGTGTACGCCTTGCGAGTCGATGGTAAGAAAGACACCAAAAAAGCGAAAGGTGTCAAAAGCAACGTCATCGCGCGCACCATCGCATTTGACGACTACACGCGATGTTTGAACGATGAGATCGAAATGACTCGACCACAGTCGTGCATAAGATCGAAAATGCACGAAGTGTACACTATTAGCGAGACAAAAATTGGTCTGAGTTCATACGATGATAAGCGATGTGTCGTGCCGGATTCGACCCATACGTTGCCGTGAGGACATTACCGAATATAACGTAATGTATATAATGTATATAATGTATATAATGTATATAATGTATATA